GCTGAGACAGAGAATTTTTAATTTTATTTAATTACGATTAATTTAAACTTAAATAGCCACCTGTGGCTAGTGTCTAACCTATTGGACAGCACAAGTCTAGAGGAGAATGATGATGTTACTTTACTTCTGGGTTCAGCTGGGCAAGATATTGGACAAACAGGTCAAAATGCAAAAGACCACATTAAAAACCTTTCTCGTTCTTTATCTATCTAGCATAAGGTCAATAAGAATGTAAAATAAGAGAAGGTGTAGACAAACCAGGATATGGTTTGATCTGTACAACTGACATACATACATAACACACATAGAATGTGGATTTCTAATGTAAAGTATCATCAGCCCATAGAGAATTCAGCTTTCCTCATGATCTCTCACTGACCAGTGAGAGAGATCATCAAACTCAAATGGTCCATGGTTATTTAAATCCTACTGCATCACTCAATGACTTGACTGGTTATTTCTTCTGAGAACTTAATGCAGCCGAGCTATAGCATGTCAGGTTGTCAGTTTATTCTTTCCATTCCCTTTGTGGCAGACATTCTCTATTGATTCGCCCAACCCCAATTCCTAGGCATTAGAGGTGATTCTGCAGTACAGTTCTGGATGTAAAGTTCCTAGGAAAGCTGTTCCTTTCCTGATACAAGCACTTTCCTTTTTCCTCTTTCTTCTTCCTGCTGGAATGCACATGTTCTGAGGGAAATGCCAAGAAGAACACGGAGACTTCAAGGGTGACATTGCTGGGCCACTGAACCAACGTCAGCATCTGCCCACCCCCAAATTTCTCATTATTTAATAAGCTACTGAAAGTTTTCTGTTACTTGAAACTGAAAAACAATTCTAACAGATACATTTTTCTTCTGTGTTGAGCTATTGACACATCAGCACACTTGTAATTATTTTTGCTTGTTCATGTACTTATTTAATCAAAAACTGTTTTGGGGATAGTTACTAGGTGCCAAGCTAAGTGCTAGGTAATGTAAGGGTGGATAAGCAGCCAATGTCCATACCCTTACAGAGCTAATATCCTTGTAGGAGACAAAGACCAGCAAACCTTAGGTACAGTGTAGTAAGATAAGCAGTATAATAGAGGACCAAAAGAGTATGGGGATTTGGGGGTTGGTAGTCAGAAAAGGCTTCCTGGAGGAACTGGCATTTACACTGAGACCTGGATAATGAATAGAACTTAAGCAGGCAAAGAAGAGGGAATATTATATACCAGGTCAGTAGGCAATAAAGAAGACAGAACATAGCTAAGAAAAAATGAAAATAGCTCAATGTTACCTGTGCACGAGGGAGGGAGGTGGAGGATCCAGGGAGAGCAGGGAAGTTAGGCTGGAGTTGTAATAAAAGGCCAAATCACACAAGACCTTGAAGCCATTTCAGGAAGTATGGACTGTCTTCAAATAGCAAGCTACTCATGGCTTTAAAAGGGGGAGGAGGGTAAGCTACATGAATATACTATATTTGTTTATTTATTTTAAGAAATTCAGAATTTTTATTCTTTGATACCTTAATTTTTTTTTTTTTATTGAAACACAATTGCTTCTACATATCCGTGGGGTACAGCATTGAATATCCATACCTGTGTGCAATATGTGATACTCAAATCAGAAATAATCAGTATATTCAACATCATACAATGTAATCATTTTTTTTTGTGAATATACTGTATTTAGAACAATCATTTTGGTTCTGTATTGTGGCTATTGTAAACAGAGCTGCAATGAACATGGGAGTGCGGGTATCCCATCAGGATGATGATTTCCATTCCTTTGGGTATACACCCAGAAGTGGGATTGCTGGTTCATATGGAAGATCTATCTGTACTTGTTTGAGAAACCTCCATACTGTTTTCCATAGTGGTTGTACTAATTTACAGTCCCACCAACAGTGTAGAAGAGTTCCCCTTTTCCCCACATCCTTGCTAGCATTTGTTATTCTTGGTCTTTTTGATAATACCCAGTCTAGTTGGGGTCAAGTGATATCTCAGTGTGGTTTTGATTCACATTTCCCTGATGATTAATGATGTTGAGCATTTTTTTATGTTTCTGTTGGCCATTTGTATGTCTTCCTTTGAAAAATGTCTGTTCGGCTCCTTTTCCCAGTTTTTAACTGGATTATTTGTTTTTTTTACTGTGAAGCTGTTTGAGTTCCTTGTATATCCTGGATATTAGTCCCTCGTCAGAACCTAAATGTCCATTGATGGACAACTGGATAAGGAAAATGTGGTATATACACAAAATGGAATACTACCCTGCCATAAAAAAGAATGAAATTCTGCCATTTGTAGCAACATGGATGAGCTTGGAGAAAATTATGTCAAGTGAAATAAGCCAGGAGCAGAAAGATAAGTACCTTATATCCTCACTCATAAGTGGGATGTAGAAAGAAAGAAAGACCAGAAAAAGATGTTGAACTTTCAGAAGGAGAGAACAGACCTATAGCTACTTGTGGTGAGAAAGATGGAGGGGGAGGGGAGTTAGAGAGTAATTTGGTAAGGGACACAAAGAGTAATTATAATTTGTAATGATGAATATGCTAATAACATTGAGTTGATAATTACATACTCTACACAAATACTGATAGTCAACTCTGTACCCCATAAATATGTATAATGAAAAATAAATAAATAAAGAAAGAATGATCATTTTGGATTCTATGCAGAGAATTAATGGGAAGTAGGAAGACTAGAAGTAGAGAAACCAGTTAGGTGAATGATGTGGTCATTTAGGCAAGACATGATAGCTGAGGAGTAGGAATGGAAAGAAGTAAGCAGACTGGAAAGCTATTTAGGCAGTGAATGGCTTTGTTATAGCTTAGCTATGGGGGTTGTAGAAGGAAGAGTCAAGCATGACACTCAGGTTTCCAAACTGCACAACTGCATGGGCTGTGGTGATGTTCACTAGATAGGGACCATAGGGAGAGAAGTAGGTTGCATTAGGAGAAAGAGGTTGGAAGAGGGTAAAGAGGAGTTCAGCTTTAGACCTATTCAATGTGAAGTTCCTGTGAGACATTAAAATGGAAAGAAAGCAGTAGGCTATACAGGACTGAAACTCAAAATAGCAGACTGAAACTACACAAGTGGATGAATTTTTGCAAAAAGTATATGTAAAGTGAGAAAAGAACAGAGAACAGCTTCACAGGCATGAGTCAAAAGTAGCTTGGCAAATTGCAGATTTTGTATGGGCCAGCTAAAAATGTAAGTTGCCTTCTAAAATTCCAACTTACTGTACTCATTGGGGAAGCAATTATATACCTTCCTTAGCTGATAAGATTTTAGGGACCAAGCCAAAAAATATAAACTGCAAGTGATCTTAATAAAGTGATCAAAAGAACTGAGAGAGTTGCTTGGGGCACCAAGGAGCATGGGAACGTGGAGAGAGGGGTCTGCCAGAAAGAGTAGTGAAGATGAAATAGACCAGTCCCCCAAAGTGCTAGTTTTGTGCCATGAACAAGCTTTCTTCTTGGCCCCTTCCCACTTAACATTCCCTAAACTTACCAAATTAATCTCTGATCTTAATTTGCTTTCCTAAAGAGGCTTCTCTTTGAAAAGCAAGTATTTCCCACTGAGATCTAATGATACCAATTAATTTCATATTAATAATTCTTCCTAAGCCTAATCTGTTCTTGTTTAACTGAACAGATACCAAATCTGCATTTGGAAAAGAAAGTACAAACCTTGCCACTGAGAAGAGGAAGTAAGTGTGAAAATTTTTTCCAAATATCAGTCCCCTATTCAGGTTCACCCTTTCTCCACCGGGGTCCTTTTGATAGATCCCCAAATATAACTTCCCAACTTTAGGTTGAATCTTATTTTCCATGGTCATTGAACACCTACCGTCTGGAATTCAGGACTAGAGCTGCTCTACACTCCAGGGTCGCTAGCTTAAATCAAGCTTCACAAGAGTTTTCACTTTTTAATCTCTAGCTCAGATGCAAGATTTACTTGGTTTTTTAATTTCAACATATCAATAGCTCATTACTCGTAAGCCTTCCTGCTTCTAGTTCAAACTCTGCTTTTTCCTCTTAATGATAGCCTTCCTTCTTAATAAACACTGCTTAACTGACTCTTTCAGTAGTTTATGTCATCTTCTGAAATTCATCTTTCACTATGGTCTTCCTCATTGTTGTACAGGTATATTTTTGCCCCTGTTTTCTGGTACAATTCAAAATAAGCACCCAACAATCAACTTATCACAGCATGCACAAGGTAGCTCTACATTTTGTGAAGGGAGTCATTATTCAACAAATAATTACCATCTCCCTATTACATCACCTAGTTCAGGACATGGAGGTGTATCAAATAAGAAAGACACAGTCTCTGTCCTCATGGAGTTCAGACTAATTTGGAGGACAAACATTAAACAATTGTTTACATAATTCATGCTTTTATTTACAATTAGATTAATTGGAAATGAAAGAAAAGCACAAGGGGTTAAGAGAGTGGATAATAAGGAGACAGGACCTAGTTTGAGGAGATAGTGTTTCTAAGAGCTGTTAATTTCCATAGATACATACTGAAATGAAGTTATGAGTCATATTACCCTATATGGATTTTCCCATTGGTTGTGTGCAGTGAGATGAAATGATGGTACCATGGACAATTATAACTCCATCATGAAGCCCAAAGTGACTTCTTTGTCACATTAAAGATGGTGTACCACGTGCCATGATGGAATAGAAAGATATTTCTTTGGATAGTGTTCTCAAAGTAGACTGATACATGGCTCTTCTAGCTACAAATCAATCTTTTATTTTTCTCTAATTTCTGAACTACCTTTGTTGTTGTGGGTAGATCATTTAATTTCACCAGACCTCAGATTCCTCATCTTTAAAATAGGAGACTGAGTCAAACCTATGAATTTAGTTGGCATTTGTCATCTTGGATCCTCTCAAGATCCAGTTTAGCAAGACTGGGAAAACAAACCTGTGTTGTCCATCCAGTGTCACCGCCCCATCATTATAGCCAGCAGTAGTTTTAGAAATAATGTAGTTTGTACCTTTTATGAATGCTTCCCCAAGAGGCGTTGATGTTCTCTGTTATCATGTGTACTTTTCTGGTATCATCTGCTGAATAATCCCGGAGAAGTTTCAGTGCCAAGTCGTTTGCCACGTCTACATTTATCTGCCATTGGCGGAGATCTTTGGCCAACTGCTATAAATGTGTATGGGAAAGAAAATGAATGTCAGTTTTTTTTCCCTAAAATCTCCAGTTGGAGTTTCTTAAAATGCTTCATAAATAGCTTCTGGCTCCTCATGTAGAACATGTCTACATGATTGCTTTTAACCTGCCATGTGATTTAGTCAGTCATGACGGTATAAGCTAACCCATGTTTCATGACAAAACTTTTCAAATTCAGCATCTTGAGTAATAAACAGGATCAGGTAATTCAATTTAGTAGCAATTAATTGGAAATAAAGTAAGCTTAATTGTTTTTAACACGTGAGAAACCAAACTATAAAAATAAGCTTCTGTATAATTGTTCAATATGTGACATATAACAAAATTTGAACAGAAAGAAAATAATCTCATGCATTTTTTCACTCTTCATTAACTTGTTGAATTGTTTATGTAATTAGTGCCATCTACTGGCATTCAAATAAACCTGCATATGGAAACTATAAAAAACAAAAGAACAGTGCTATTATTCTAGTTATAAACTTATTTGAAGGATCAAAATACTTAAAAAATATCCTACTTTAAAATTAAAATAAAAGTAAAAATACAAGAATCTTGCTAAACCAAAACACCTATGTTTTCTTCTTTGTTTGTCTTTGGCAATTGAGTGTTATCAAACTAGCCATTTCATCACTTGAAACATATTTCAGAGAAAGAAGTCGACCAGTAATAGATTTATCTATCTGGAAGCATATCAACCCAAAATTTCAATTAAATACTTCTACAAGTGCATGGAAGAGGCTTCTAAGCATTAACATATTAAATTGTTAAGATAGTTATATCAAGTCCAATGTGGTGGGTAAATTGATAAATTACCGATAAATTGATAAATTCATAAAGGAATAGGAACAGACCATTCAAACAAGAGAAAGAATAAAATAATTTCATTAAAAAAAGAAAAAGAAAAAAGTTAAATTTCAAGTAATAATAAAACAGAGTATTAAATCAAGAAGGTGCAATTTGGCACTAGTTAAATTAACAAAAAATAAAATCCAAAGCTGAAAGGACCAGTAAAATTAGCATATCTATATAGCTGGTAACAGTGTCTATTTGGACAATTTGGCAATAGATACCAAGTGACAAACAAATGCTTATTCCCATTAACCCAGTAATCTCATGTTTAGTAATTTATCCTAATAAAATATTCAAAAAAGTAAATAAGTTACAGAATAAAAATCTTCTTTAACCAAAACAGTAAAAAAAGTCAGAAACAATTTTAATGTTTAATGAGGGGACATTAATAGAACATAATACATCAACCCAATGATGCACAGTAATAGCTATAAAAAGAACACAATTTTCTTGTGTAAAAAAACATAACACAATTTTTATCTATACTGTCTTTTTTAACTCTGTAAGAATACATAGTCATGTACTAGAAAGAGAACACAAGAAACTGAAAATAATTGATGCTTCTGAAAAGAGGAATCATATTGTTTTAATATTTGTTCTTTTTTGTTAGTATGCTTTTTATAATAAAAATCAAATGCTAGTACTTTTAGCATATTTTCAGTGCATTTGGTTGAATTTCTATCCTTGATAATATACAAGAGTACTTCAAAAAGTTCGTAGAAAAATAGTATTAAAAGATACAAATCACAGGCTTCCAGTCAAGATGGTGGAATAGACGGTTCCCAGCATCACTCTGTCCCACAAATCAACCAATTTACAACTATCAAAAAGCAACAACAGCTAAGCTGGGGCTGCTAGAGCTCAGGGGAAGAGGAGGAGAGACCTACTGAATTCATGAAGGCAGGAGAAGCCACGATGAGAGAAAGAAAGGACCACTCCCACCATTTCCAGCCCCTGCCACTTCCAGGCTGGCCCTAGTGAGTGCATGGAGGAGGAGCCAGCAAAACCCACAGACCTTTTATGTGCCCTTCATATAAAGTTGCTTGGAGGTGGCAGGGGAGAAGAGGGCCTTGGTGGCCCTCAGGCCAGCAAGACCACTATCAGGGTTCCTGTGGACCCACATAGGAGAGAGGGGCCACAGACAATGGAAAAAAGGAGACACTCAGAGGCCGGTGAGAAACCACAAGGAACCGGAAGGTGGAGGTTTGAGTGCGGGTGGTGGGGGAAATGGGAGATGGGCCCACCAGTGGAACACTGGGGCACAGCAAGAACAGCTGATCTGCCCCCCAATCAGCACAGGACCACTCAGTGGAGACTAGTCAGGAATACAGATCTTCAGGGGGTGCAGTTTGCTGAAATGTCTCAGGCCCAGACCAGAGTTTCCACACAAACAAGGTGTACTGGAACTCAAAAGACCTGGAAGTACAATACAAGGTCAACAATTAAAACCTGAGGTGCGCAAAGAGCCTTCCTCAGAGAATCAACAGCAAAGTAGCAATTTAACTCAACTACAGGGCTCAAGTGCTGGTCCCCACAAGAAATTCCCACAGGTGATTGTGGATGGACAGCAGGGGGACATGGCTGAGGCCTTTGGCCCCCCACACCCTGATTCAGGGGCCAGTGGGCTTCTGGTGGTGGCTGGGTCTTCACTGGGCTTGATGTGAACATGGGGGAGGTGTGGCCCCCTACCCTGGCTCAGGAGCCCTGGGGGGCTTCCAGCCGATATTTGTATTTTACAAAAAGAATTTATTATCTATCATCTACTAAATCGACAAAACTGAGACCAATAACTTGGTTATCTTTTTCTAAGGTAATTCCTTTTTAAGAAGAGTTCAGTTGTTAAATAAATACTTACGATGAACCAACATAAGAGCATATATGTATAGTCTGAGGAATACAAAATATAAATAAAAATTTTAATGAATATATAATTAAAATCATTTACTTTACCTAAGCAAGTTAAATAATCTTGTAAGCCACCCCTCACTCATGCATTGCTATTTGAAAAGTCTAGGTATAAGAGGATACACTCTTTGGATGGTTTCACAGTTGTATGCATATGTTCAAACCCTTCAAATTTGTATGCATTAAATATGTGCAGTTTTTGTATATTAATTACACTTCAGTAAAGCTGTTAAAAATCTTAAAAAATGAAATGCAGGATGTGCCAATGAATCTAAAAAAAAATAATCTATAGATAACAAGAAATACCTAAAAGTAGACGTTGAAAGTATGCTGGAATTTTCCAAGATCTCTAAAGGAAAAATCAAGCTAGAGTTAAATTAGAGACAAAATAGTAAAAAGGTAGTAAAAGAGTGAGGAAAGGCAAAAATGCACATACCATATATTTTTCTCCACAATTATATTCACAATGAAAGTTCAGACTTTTTTATACCTAAGGAAATCTTGACTGAGCACTAACTCTGACTGAATATTGCCCAGGCTTTGTGAGACTGTAGAATTAAAAAGAAAAACACCCGCTGATCTTGACTAAGATTGAAAAAACTAAGGCCCTTGTCTAAACACAAAAGTTCTCAACCACCACTTTCTTTTCTCCCTTTTTAAAGACATTTACCAGAACAGAATGATTTCCCTTCCTCCTAAGTTAATATGCTGACCACCTTGGGCTTTACTGAAGTGTCATTCGTACTAGAAACCATGACCTTGACCAGCGTTGCCTACCACTGTGAAATTTACTACTGGGATAACTCCAGACCTCAGAAGGAGTGTAAATTCAAAAATACAATAGACTTCACACACACCCTTTTTTCTTTCTGAATTCCATTTACAATGGTGTACCCTGTAGGGAATTGTTGTTTGGCGACTGTAGTGTCTGAAGAAATTTAAAATACTGTGAGAGCACCAGCTATAAAAAAAGATGATTTTGTATATATGTGTGTGTGTGCATTTTCTGTGAAGAATATAAAATGCTAAATCCCCAAAAGATTAGGTCCCCGACCAGGAAAAAAATATTTCACATTCAAACCTAATATGTTGCTGCTGCGATATGTACGTGGTATTTATAAACAGCATTTTAGGAAGAAGGATTGTAGACTATGAGACAACTTGAAGTAACTTCAAGAATTTTGAGTATTTTTTCATTTTAATTGATATTTTTAATTAATATTAAATTAATAGTTTTCATTTTAATTAATATTTTTAAGATTTTGCTGTTTGTCATCTTATGTTTTATTTGTAAGAACTCTTTTTTTTGAGATATTGACCCTATATGGGAGAAAAAGAGGAGAGGCTCCCTTTAACTTAGACAATAAAAGGGAGTGAGTAGACCTATAATTAAAATTTTAAGGTTGAGTACTGGTTAAGTGTTCTTATAAAATGTGTTTTTGGGATATTCACCTACAAGTGAAATAAATGTTTGTTCTTTTTTTTTTTTAAGGGAACAGTTTAATGAATGTTAGTAAGGGTGTAGATTTGTGCAACCATCATCATAATCAAGTTTCAGAGATTTCCATTACCCCAAAAAGTCCCATTGTGCTTGAATGCAGTTAAACTCCACACCCACCCCCAGCCCTGGAACCACAGATATGCTTTGACATGGAGTAGGAGGGTACTTTGGAGTCCATTAAATACCCAAGAGTTATGAAGTAACACCATAGCAACAGTTGGGGAGTCAGTGAGACACACAAAAAAGGAGAATAGTTGTAGGATATTTTTTGGTGTCCCTAGATCATTCAGTCATGTGATTATAAGACAGTCTCTTAGTTTTCTGCCCCAGATGGCTAACTGCTTAGCATGGTGTGTGAGTTTTAAACGCTAATCCTCAGAGGGCTAGCTCATCTCCAAGAGCCGTAGGATACCTCACTGTGTCTCTGTGCACTAACACTCCCTTACTGTCACGTTTAAAGCAAACAAAAGTCCTGACAACATGGATTTCTTTTCTTCCACCATAATGAGCAGAGTTGTAACATTTGCTTGTGTCCCAGACTAGTTCTAATTAGTAACCTTTCTGAGGGGTGGCCTGAACAATGAAGGCGTTTTGCTTTCATAAAAACGCAAAGGGACAGAGGGCTGTGCGGAGGCATCTCCAGCTTCATTTTTAAAATGATTATGCAATAAGTTTACATGTATTTTTCTGACTATGAAAATAAAAATTAGCCGCTCAT